CCCCCCCCCCCCCCTCCAGGGCGGGGGGCCGCCCCCCCCCCCCCTCCTCCTCCTCCTCCTCCGCCTTCCCGGTCCACGGCCATGCATATGGACGTCGTGAACACCATGTTTACATGACGTGCCACCTGCGTATGGGCCGACGCTTGGATGACGAGCAGGGCGGGAATACCGTGTTCAGCTGCGTCGGGACCTTGTCGACTGTCTGCACAGGAACACAAATGCCTGTTGCATCCCCGGCGGGCCGGCCGATTTTGGGCATAAATCAGCCCTACCTGCTTGCTGTACCGCTCAGCCCACGTATCCCCGTCGATACGTGATTTCGGGTCCAATCCGCAGCCGGTTCTCCAAAACGGAAGACGGCAGACGGAAGACGGCAGACGGCGTCGTGGCTCGATAAGCGCGCGTAGTCCATCACGGCCCCAGTGGCTGGTGTGTGTTTGAGTGCGTGGCTGGGCCTCAAAACAATTGACCCCAAAACTCCGTCACACACAAACAAACTTTGGCCCTTCACCCTTTACCCTTCATCCCCGAGGCCACGAAACAACCAACGAACCCAATCTAAAAAAGAAGGCCGCGCTCCCGTCCCTGCCGCGAGCGCGCAGACAATCAAACAAGGAAACAGAACAATGCCGCAAATCGCCAAGATCCACGCAAGCCGTGCCAGACAAGCACCAGAGCAGCACCAGAGCAGACGACCACCAGCGTCCTTGCAACCATCACACCATCCTACTTGCCATCCATCAATCCGGTTTCCCGCATGTTACGCCACGCATGCACAAGTAGCCAACCTCGTATTTTTGACCGCCTTCCACCACCATCACGGGTCGGTTGGCCGGCCGAGAAGGTCCCATTGTTTCATCAGCAACACCACCAAGCTTTGTTCTCCCCTCTCTCTCTCGCCCGCGCGCCCCAACCACGTAGTATTACCATGAACCCAACTAATAACGAGTGATTGTGTGGTTGGGTAATTGGAAATTTCATCTTGACGTCTATATTATTTATTTTCATTGTAATTTTTTTTTCTCTTTTCTCTTCCTCTTTTTGTTCTTGTTTATGTCGTGCTTCCTAAAAACTACCAGTTCAACTTACTCAGTGAGCGTCTCCATGTATGTCGTCAATGGCTTGGTTTTCGTCCCATGCGAGGGCAAATCGCTCCGCTTCTGTTCTGGGGGTATGACTTGTGCCAACCACCCCCTTCGTGCTGCAAGTATGCGGTATTAATCGAGCCCAGCATCACCGCCAGTCATCTTGCTAGCCACGTCTGCAGTCTGGAATCCGCAATCAAGGTGCAGAAGCAGAGGCAGCAATTGAGAGGCCGTCGGACAACAAGTCGTATGCGCCATCGGAACGCTCCCGTTCGACTCCACCGCATCGTGGCGCCACAAAACAATCGACTTGTCCGACCAACGTAATCGACAGCCAGACGCCATGTGGAGGAAGGCTGGATATGTGGCTCCCAAGAAGATTCAACATCAGCCGTTTGTACGCAGTATACAGACCAACATGTCCGTGTCCCATCAACAACGGTGGCGATAATGATGCTGTATTGCTGCATAGTTGTTTAGATGGTGATTCGTTAGCCTAATGACCCCGTCCCTGGTTTGCCGTCGCAAACGCCTGCGAGGCGTCCATACACAAGCTAGCCACCAATAAAACCCCGTTGAATATAGCCATCATGTAAAACGGCGCTCCCTTGGACACCGAGTCGAACAGCACTCCTCCGAGCTTTGTTAAAAGCAGAATCGCCGCCCCGCCGCACAGTGAGTACACGCCTGCAATAGAACCCTTCAGTCTCACCCGTGACGCAGAGTCCTCGTTGGTCGACATGCGCATCAGTGGCTCTGATTCTGCCGATTCGTCTTCGCCTGGTGCAATTGACGGCTCGCGTCGTACTGACCGGGGCAGCTCGACTGCAATCACGCCCTGGCCTAGCGAGCCTAAGCTACACACTATGGCGCCGATCTGGCTGACTCCAATAAGTGCCACCACTAGGAAGATGAAAGGTGTTCCCCCTCTATCGTCTACATTCTTGAACTCTGGGCTCGACAGCTGCGGTAGCATCAGATATCCAATCATGCCAAACACTGTGGCCACAACAACTGGATAGTTTACTCGACCGGCTCGCCCGGATAGATATCCAAACACTGGCGCACACACCAGTCCCATTAGTTGTGCCACTCCGGTAAGAATTGATGATAGTACGTAAGCTGAACGACACTCCTTCTTCAGCTCCGGCGACGGATCGTTGGGCGAGCCTTGGCAGAAGCCATTGCTAATGAAGAAGGTGTTGATGTACAGCGGGATGAAGAGTGAAATAGCAACCGTCGACGCCCTGGCAACAAATCCACCAATGTACCCCAGCGCAATTCTGGAGTCAGCAAATCCCAAGAGCACCGAATCCTTCATCAAATGAAGATACGGAATCGTCTTCTAGTGGGCGTTAGTACAAGTTTAAGCTTCAAAGATTTCCCTCCAACGTGTTGTAGCATGCATACCTGTCGCTGTCTTCGATCCCGGTCATTCTCCCCCGATCTTGCATAAGCATCTCGCTCCGAAATACCAAACAATAACCTCCATCCTTTGCCCTCCTCGCCCTTCAAATTCCGCAAACCTATAAAAACAAGGATCGCAACGGCCAATGACACCGCACCAACCACGTAAAAACTATATGATACTGCCTGACCAGGCGTGACGCCGTCAATATCTCCAAACCTCGCGGGTAGCGGCAGAAACAAGGACAGCGCTACAAGCGCACCACATCCTGTAAATAAGCCAACGAGGCCGGCCAAAGTAGACGGCTTTGCAGACTTGGCCACGGCATCCTGTTGTTGACGAGAAGCTCGCGAGTCGTTGGACAATGATCGAGTATAACGTTCCGGCGTAATGGTAGCCTCCGATTCCACAGAAAATGCAACGCTCAATCGCTGGTTGGGCTTGTACCTCGATGGACTCCTACCATCAATCAAATCTCCCTCATCCGTCAGTGACGGCAAAATAGCTGTAACCATGGTCGCCCTGCATTTCCGCCATTAACCAGCCGTTAGCAGGAGTCCAAACCAAAGAAAAGAGAGAGAGGTCCCGGCTCGGCCCATTTATCTACGACAAGACGCGAGATGGAGGGGAGGATAGGGGAGGAGGGTGTTAAACTTACGCCGCCGAGGCTCCTACCGCAAAGAAAATCCGCGCAAGCAGTAGTTGCGGGTAGACATTCTTCGCCTGGACAAACAACACCAGTGCGAGCCCGATAATTGCGTACCCCATGACAGCGACCCATCGTACTCCAAGGCGGTCTGATATCAGTCCCCATGTCGGGCATGCCACCAGGGCAACAATCTCATCAGCGAAGCCCAAGGTGCCCACGACATCGCCGACGTTCTTCTTCTGGCCGATGAGATCAGTAATGACAAACGATACGGAGCTGTTGAGAAAGACGAGAAACGATATGGAGAAGAGCGAGATGCCAAGAAGGTATGTGACGGCTTGCGCTGTGGTTGCGGATGGCGCAAAGGGCAAATATCGGGATACCATCGCCATGATTCAAAAAGGCTGTTCTGGATAACCTCTAGTCGAGAGGCAATGAGAAGAATCACATGGCGTGGGGGGGTGGAATGATGATGCTGGATGAGACTTGTGGTGGGAGGGAAGCCTAGTTGAAGATAATGACGCGCCGAGCATTGTTTGGACGAATTGAACCGAGTACGTTACTCCGTAATTACAAAAGTACACAGTCCGGAGTCCTTAGTTCCGAGGTGGTCTTGGGTGATTACATAATCCCGGCAATTGAACTGGCATGTGCGCCACATGACCGACATATGTCGTCAAAGCAACAAGATCGAAATGGCAAGGTGAAATCAATCGGTTCTCTTGGCTGATGGCCATCACTCGCTCAAAGACTTTTGTGATATCTAAGGAGTGGTTGCTATCAGTTTGACGCCGCTGATACTTGGGCACCATTAATAGATCGAGGTTTTGGATGACGCAGGTGAGCTCGCCGTAGCACAGCGCCGTGGCCGCGACCTTGACCAGCACGTCGGTGGGCTGAGAGGGCACAGGAACCTGTGTCCGGACGAGCGCGAGTTCCGGTGCCAGCTTGTCCAGGGCGAACTGTGCGCATGGATGTGGGCAGGTCGGGCTGGGCCATGTTGATGTGTATGTGTGTATGTGTGTGGCTGGGAGTTGTTTGGTAGTTGGACTTGGTCTTGGACCTTGCTTCTTCTTAATCAACATTGAAGTATACACACACACACACACATATATATATAGCTGTCAAGCCAACATGGCTGGGTGTAGCCCTCTCCATAATAATCAAGCGTGGATGTCAGTATCGGCAAACGGGAGTTAGAAGAGCGAGCGGCGCTCCTGGAAACAAGCCAACCTTACACTTGAGCATCTTGGGGTCGTGTATTATCAGATGCGCTGGCAAGACCGAATTCCGATAGATGGAAAAACAGAAACCTCGCCTCAATCACTTTACGATTCTTTTATCCGCCCATGGTTGAGGGTAAGTGGCAGCATATTACAAACCTCGAAGTCCCGTTTTGCACCGTGTAGCAAATCAAGCATTGTATGGAATTGTATAGAACAGATTGAAAACCATCCTCTATCTAAACAACCACAATCATATCAAGCATCCATATTTGAACACTACCTTATAGACCTGGTTTATTCAATGTTTCGAATTATTCATAGCCCTGAACTCCTAAAAGCCGACTTTCCCTCCGCTACCTCATCCCAGTCGCAAAATAGTACATTTGCCGGAGCTTACCAAGCCCAAAGTACCTTGTGATGAAGGGTCCTCGCACCCAATCGCTCGAATTCAAAGGGAGTGATCCACGAGTCGTTCGTCGAAAGCTTGGCAAATACACTGGCTCCCTTCCAAGCGACGACTTGCTCATCCATATCCCTGGCACTTCTGCTCACCAAGATCCTATCATACAAATCTGGCCGTCTGGCCTTGATTTTCTCTTCCAAGACCACCGTAAACTGAGGAATCTTTGAACCGCCTCCAATAACCATGATGCTGCCCAACAAGTCACGAAGTTTCTTATCATCGCCCTTGGCTGCGTTTTGGATACTGGTCAGAATTGCGATATCGAGAGGAGCCATTGGAAGAACGCCATCTCTTTCAACAGCGATATCAGTCGCGCTCCGCGCATTAGAGTCCACAAACATGCCAGACGGCGCTTGTGAGTACTGAGACAACTGTCCGGGGACCGGTGTACCCGTAGCGCGGGAGCCACTTGGAGCAGGGCTGTCTACGTTTAGAGCCTCCTTTCCAGCTCCAAAGATGTAGGGGGCTGGGGTTCCGTTTCCCTCGGGAGCTGGAGAGCCGGTATGGGAGCCAGCCGGCGTACCATTTACTCCATTCTCACCCCTGCCAAGAAAGTTGAATGGCTGAGATCGCTCTTTGCTAGGCGTCGAAACTTCCAGTTGTGACTGTGACTGTGACTGCGACGGGCCGTTCGCAGATGACATGATCGAGGGTTTCACCAGAGCCAAGATGGCAAGCTGGGCAGCTGAGGCTGGATCGTCAGGGATCTCAACATCGTACGCATTGTATGAGCGCTCAACCAGTTTCCGTCGTCCTCGAAGCTTGGCGCTATTGTCAAATATTGAGGGGTCAAACACACCCATAGCCGACAGAATGACTTCGTCATAAGTCTTAAAGGTATATTTCCGAGTCGACTGGTTGGGGGCTCGGACGTGAAAGTTGTAAACCTGCACAGAAATGTCGGCCTGAGACATGGTACAGTGTTTGATTTTCAGTTCCTCGGCCAAGAGGAAGTCGTATCGTCTTTGTAGATTGATGTCCTGATAGGGAAAGTTGTCGTAAAGCATCATCTTGATAAAAGTCTCGGTGATGTCGTACCCGCCATATTTCATGTTAATTCTAGAGTCCTCAATGCAGAGACCATCTTCCACACAAGTGACTGACGTCTTCTGTGCGCCAACATCTACAACACAAGCCTGGGTATACCCAGCACCAAAAGTAGCCGCAATGCCCTCCTGGACGAAACAAACCTTGTTGAATTCGAACCAAGTCATACAAGACCGCAAGATTTGCTCGACATACTTCTTGTCGTAAAGATCAGGGATGACAAACACACAACTGTATTGTTGCCACTCGCTGTTGGTAGTCAGGCCGAGTTCCTGACGGAGTGCCTTGTCCAGTAACGTCTCAAAGTCATCGTACAGGTGCTCCTGGCTGGAATACTCGTCCTCGTTCCACCACCCGTAGCGTAACGGCCACCAGAGTTTGAACTTGGGATCTGAGTCATCCGGCACGCGGAGGGCATCGTTTCCAATAAAGCAAGAGGCTAGCGAGTCGGGGTCTTCGAGGGTCTTAACGTCGGTCCACTCTATCTCCAGGGGGTCGTTGTGTTTCTCGATAATTTCTGGCTCCGTGCGACGATTAAAGGTTTGGACTAATTCTTTGGAATTTGGCAAGACTTTTCTCTTGTTGGCGCGCATCTCAGACTTCAATTCGCTGCACATTTTTGAATACTTTTTGGACCACTCTTCGCCGTATTGCTGATCGGTCGTCTTGGCCTCAAACTGGCGTCGTGGCAGGGCCTCGTACATCTCAGACTCTGTTTGCGGGAATTTCGTTGCCAATGTAGTTGGAATCGTCCTTGGGAGAGCATCACTGGCGAAACCTATCCGAAGGTTCTGGCTGCCAGGGTGAATGACAATGATGCGCGACGGATCAACACCACCAGAAGGTGTCGCAGCGCCATCTTCCTCTGTCAGATCGGGAACAGGCAGAGGAAGCTCGCCATTCGCAGGCTTAGACAGGAGGCGATCGCGGTCTCTGGCGCCTTGGACAAGTCGGTCGCGGGTCGCATCGTTCTGAAGGCGCAGGGCTAGAACTTGATCATCCCGCTTCATGTAGTCGCTAATGAATGTCAGCCACAGGTTTCGCGATCAAGACACTCGAGTCAGACTCACGTATAGTAGTTCTTCTGGTTAATTGGGGCGACATCCGGCCAGGTTGTGAGCTTCATGCCATTATCAGTTCTCTCCAACCCTTGGATAGAAAAGTCAGTAAACCCGGCGGCGCAAGTAGACACAGGCAGCATGCTTCTTGACATAGGACTTACCCTCCCTAAGGAGAACTCTCTCGGACACCTTTCCAACCATTTCAATGTCTTTGCCTTTGCCGAGGCGCACCAGCCAGTTGGTGGGGTTGAGTTGATGCGATGACGAGGCAATCGAAATCAGTGGTTTGACCGAGACTCGAGGCTCAAAGAGTTCGAATGGCCGCGAATTTCCCGACGCGCACTTAACACTTGCCAATGTCACAGCATTGGCACCACTGGTGGGTGGGTCCTACTGCTGCCCCCCAAGTGCTTGGAGTGTGGTGCTGGATCCGCCAGAAGGGGTGCCCTCTTGATATAGTTATCCCGGCCAAATATTTGTCCGGTGGTTAGCATGTGCTAATTTAGCTTGTGAAAGTGGGCTATTTGCAGTGCGCCTCTAATAATAAACCTTCCCCAGCTTTTGTAAAAAGTCAAACCCGAGGTCAAGGAAAAGAGTCGGAAAGACAACAGTTCCTAATAACAAGGCAATATTACCCTCTGTCGTCTGAACCCTGCGCGAATTGGCCTAATTTTAACGGCCATATCTCACTAACCGGATTGTCGAGTGAATAGATGCTGTTTTGCCCGATTTTGTGTAGTTCTACTTCATATGCCCTTCCTACACAGGTGATTCGGCGCAAATCGTGAATCCACTGCCTTCAGCAAAATCTTACGAGAATGGCGTTCAATCTGACTGTCTCAAACCTCCACCATCACATTGCCTACCATGGGTCTTTTCGTGCTCTTTCGTGGGGCCAAATCTCGCTAATCGCATTTGTGTCCTACGTTACACTCTGTTCATTTCTTCGTTTCCGGCGCATCAACAAGCTACGCCAGCGATATCCCTACCCGGATCGTGCATCCCTAGCGCATATGACGAACGAGGATGCCCAGATTATAGTGCAAAACATCTCTTCATATGAGTTTCCCTACTTTTATGACCTTTCGCAGCGATATGCGTTATTCAGGGTAGGTCAAAGCTCTGCCCCTGCAGCTGCAGGCGACGTAACACCGCAGTAGGTTCTAACGAATTGGGTAGACCTACGCAGTGGAAAACATAGCCAAGCTGCTTGTTTCCGTCAGTGACCTGAGCAAGTCCGACCAAGCTCCAAAGAGGTAAGTTTCTGTCTTGACCGACAAGCCATCGATTGCGTTGACATCTGGCATCTTGCGATTCTGACTGTTGGTAGATACGAAGACACTGAAATCATATTTGTCTGGTACGGTATACACACCAAAGCTCTGTCTCATGTTCGTGTTAACTAATAAGTCCCTGCGTCAATTTCATGCAGCTTTGCCAACTATGCGCCTACCTCGTCGATGCTTCGGAAGGCAGTAGCACGCATGAACTACCTACATGCTCCATATATCAAGTCAGGAGGGATTCTAAATAAAGACCTCCTTTACGTTCTTTATACTGCCATGTCGGAACCCGAGAGGTTCATGCGTCTGTACGAATGGAGACCACTTTTGGAAATGGAAGTTGCCGCAGTCGCCTCGGTATGGAAATACGTGGGAGACTTGATGGACATTGACTATGAAGCAGAACTCGGTAAAAACCAGTGGAGAGATGCAATCGAGTTCCTGGACGACGTTTCACGATGGGCAAGCAAATACGAAGAGCAGTACATGCGGCCGATGGACGAGGTTGCGAAATTGGGATCTGTTCTGGTGGACTTGCTGTTGTCGGCCTACCCTAAAGCTTTACGGCCACTGGGATATCAGGTCGTGATGGTGTTGATGGGCGCGAGGTTGCGATATGCTTTCCGGTAAGTTAGCAACCACAAAGCTTCTCAGACATACTATACGTCCGAAATCTGCATTCTAACTTGTTTTCTTGGCCCAGTTTCCCCGAGCCCGGCGTCGCCGTTTGCGCGCTCAGTTACACACTTCTCCTGCTACGGAAACTTTTCCTCCGATATCTCTCGCTGCCCAGATTCTCCCGTGTAGTTTTTGTTACCGAACCGGATCCGACAACAAAACGAATGAAGCACCTCCATTACTTGAAGGAGCCGTGGTATACACCGGCGACTTTCTGGCTGCGCTGGGGACCAACTGCCTGGACTACGTGGGCGACGGGAGGCATAGTCCCCGGCGACAACGCGGAGATGAAGCCTGAAGGATTTGTGTGGGAAGATGTCGGGCCTCGAAGTAAGATGGGAAGGAGTACTGAAGAGACGAAGAAGTGCCCATTTGCTATTCCGCAGTCTTGAATGATATTGACTCTGTAAAGAGCAAGGAATCTTTCTGTATATTTAACATGTGGTTTATGAATGCTATCTTATATCTGTCTGCACCGGATATATTTTGTTGCTATTTTGTGCGCTCAGCATTTTGGATTATTTCCTGGCTGCATATTACTTCTAGCATACACAAGGGTTCGGATCTTATAATAGTCACCGACCAACTGTGCCGCCAGTTACACAAGTTGACAGCTGCTGATCTCGGGATGCAGCATCAGCCTTTTCGGAATTTAGTTTTCATTCAGGAGCCGCCCCCCAACAACCGCAGTAACTACATTTTCATGGCAAAACGGCCAATGCTCGATACGCGCGTGTTCAGGCACCCGCTTGATGGGGGAGGTGTCACCTGACGTCACCTGCTCCAATGACGTCGCCACGTTCCTGTGGTCGGATTCTGTCACTGTGCGCGGCGTGAAAAGCTACACTTGTCAACTTTCCTCTGTAAAAACAAAAGGTTCTCGCAAATCCTCTGAATCTACGTGGCATACTGGCCCGGTACGACGCTCCGATCTGGCCTTGATGCCGGTTCCCTTTTCTGCCTCACTCACAACTTTGCCACGGTGACACAACCACCCAACTTCGTACGGCAAACCACGGTTCTACACACGGCGCCCTTGCATCTGCACACGCAACGTCAACTCGGCTGATTTCGTCCAACTGGCTGCAGCAAAACAAAGAAAAATCCCGGAGGATAAAAAAAAGCAGGTCAATTCTACCGAGCTCCCTTTGTTTCGATCTTTCCTTCTGTTTTCTTCCAACATGGCGCCGATCCCAGTATATAGCTCTAGCCCTATTAACGCTGCTAAACCTACGGGTGTGACTCCCAAGACGGCGGATTCAAACAAAGACGGCCAAGCGCAGCTGGAGCCCTCCCAAATTAGTGGCGAACAAGCGTTCTCGCCAGCTCAACCTGGAGCCAGGCCGATGCTGCCCAAGGCGACTGGCGCGCCACAACCTGGTGGCCATGTCCCGGCTACACCAACACGAACCAGCTCAGTAGGCAACAACCCCCCTCCACCGCAGCCTGGTGCTGTTCCTGTTCCTCCAGGCAGTAGCAGTGGAACGGGGAGCAATATCCCTCCTCCGCCAAGTGCTGGTGAATCACTCCAGAATCACCAGCCGCCACCAGTGACGACCATGCCTCCACAGATGGGATATCAACCGCCTCGAGCACCTCTCCCTGTCCAGGCACGATCATCGACCGCCTCGACAGTAGGACCACCGCCTCACTCCGGACCAGCCGGTGTCTCCCCACCTCTGCAGGGAAACTATCCGACGGCAGGAATCTCACTGCCGGCGGGAGGCTACCAGCAAGATGTCAATGCAGCAGGGTACAACAGCTATCAAAGAGCAGAAAGAGCGTATGAAGACGAAAGTGAGGCGAGCGTCTGGGACACGGCAAAGAAGTGGGCGGCGTCTGCAGGAGAGTCCCTGGCGGCCGCGGAGAGCGAAGTCTGGAAGAGAATCAACAAGGACTAGGTTTGGGAACCACACCTAAACGTGGCACAAATGAGTGGTGTAAACAATGGGCAAGCAGAAGTGAATAGCTAACTCTCTCTAGTGTTGCTCGTCTAAACAGAGCTTCTGGCACTAGCTGTTGGGAAGGGGAGGCAACAGGGTACTGAGGAGACCGCGGCCTTTGAAGGTCAACTACCGCATGTCATGGAGATGGACAAGTTGAAGACGCCGTTTGTGTACATACATATTGGACACTTTGGAAAACGCAAGGACAAGGTCGGTATCTACGACACTAGTTTCGGCGTTTTCGACCATGCAGGTGGGGGAGACGTCGTGGAAGACGAGGCAGATCAAACACACGCAGCATCGCGAGGGGGGTGACAGGGCTATGAAAGAGACCCTGCCCAATCCACAGAGAAGCAAGGAGATGAGGCCATTGTGGAGTATAAGCAACCGAATCTGTATTACTACGGCAAAAGCCCTGTGTGGGGGGGCCGAGTTCTCGCGGAAGATGGTGTGCAGAGAAAATGGGCCTTGCCAGGATGGATTTGCCTGTGAGACATTTGGAATACATTTCGACACTTTCTTGATGAGAACAAGGCATATCTTGTCGGTACTGTTTACTTGTGGGAAGGCAACGTTGCGGTGTAGTCGGTTAAGGAAATATCAACAAGAGGGCCTTTTCTTTTCATCCAGGATATCCCCTTCATCTGGATCCTGATGGGTATTTGGGAGATCTCTGTGCCGTGGTTCGTCCAGAGAGTCGGGAATGATGCGGCTTGGAACCCCCAGCTTTCCCCAAAGCAGACGCGAATCTTGTGCATGACTTGCTCCACAAGCTGGACATGTCAGTGTCAGTGTCATCCGAAGCGACGGTGTTGACGACCTCTCGTTGGGGAAAAGATAATACGTAGTAGTACAGACGCTTTCACGGGCGTCAGTTTCATCCTTGTTGCCAGCACATTCTACAGACGGAGCCAAGTATCATACAATCAATATACATACGTAGACGTTGTCATCTCGCACCACAAGCATGATTGTCGATATTATCGACAATATAACGCTTCATGGGCAAAATGAAGGAGAAAACAAACTACTCTTTGTGCGGAGCAGCCGTTGTATCAAAAGTGCCCTCCGCCAGGACCACCATATGGCACCGGTTTGCCGTTCTCCACGACGCAGGCATATCGATCAACGGACCCGACGTTGTGCCAGGAACAGCATATTCAGGCTCGTAAAGAGACAGAGAGAGGGGGGGAGAGAGGCTGAGTCGGGAGGGACAACACACCATTAAAAGGAGAGAAAGGGAGCGAACGAGATAATCGGCAGAATCGCATGACGATGTAAGTTTGTTTGAGGAGAGCCTGGGATGCCTGGTGATGAGGATTTGCCCCCGGTTCGTAGATCCCGACGGTGCGGATGTACCGCTGTTCTTTTGTTCTTTTGCTCTTCCTGCTGGCTCTACACTTGAGATGGATCTGAATCGTGCGCGCATTTCTGATAAGGGACGGCTGAGGGTCGTCGGGTGTAGAGTAAGTGGCGATGCACGAGGTGGGCGGTGTTTGTGTCGTTGGGGGAAGGGCCGGCATGAACTGAAGTTGTTGACGATGTGCGCGATCGCCTTCACCCCCTCCATCCCCCATACGGCCGGGGAGAGGGGGCCAATGTGTTTGGTTGAGTATTTCCGTATACGTCCGCGCTGCAAGTACACGATCTTGCGTGGACAGCTGTATCTTGGTGTTGCGCGGCACGTGCCTGCCCGTTTAGGAATGAGTATCTGGGTCATGACACACATACAATAACAAGGTGTGTCCCTCTCTTTCGTTTGTTATTGGCGTTGGTCCTACGGGCTGACTTTGGATTTGCTCTTATTCCCTCTCGCTACGCTGATGATAAAACAAGATAGTAATCCGTGCCCAAAAGCCCACGGCGCCAATCTGATCCCCAGGCCCCCCCTCCCCCGAAAAAAAATAAATAAAATAAAATAAATTGAAAAGATGCAGCCCTCGATGCGAAGTACAGCACAGGCCATTCTTGGTGTTTGCCAAGGCGCGACTCGAACCAAAGAAGAAGTAAAAAAGAACCTGCTCTCGATATTGGTTCATCAGCCTCAACGTACTCCAGCCGCCATGACTCTCTCCCACACACATCGGATAATCTCCGTGTGTCTGGTTGTCGGAAAGCTGTTACGAATCAACAAAATCTCACCCCCTTCCCATCGATTTACGCACGTACAAACAAGGCCATGGTTTAAAACTCCTCCCCTCTCTTCAGATATATTAAAATAATGGCCCTTTCGCCATGCGAGAAATCGGCCAACCCGAACCGCGCGCGGCCCCCCCTTCTTCCCCTCTTAAAAAAAAAGGGCAAAATCCCCAGCGTGCCCGCCGTCAATCTCAGCCCTTGGGCTCAACTCAAGTCTGAGCGCAACTAAAAAGTTTCTTCTTTCCTTCTTTCCGACATTCCACCAGCCACACACCCCCAACCCCCAGATGCCACCCCCCCTTCCCCCCCTTTTTTTTTTCCCAGAAGGCCCCCAATCCTGGCAGCCAGGGGTCAGAGACAGATCTGAGACGTTGAAAGCCTTACAAGGCACTCCCCTGTCCGACACAATCGCGGCCAATGGGCCCAGCTCGGTCCGGCTTGTGTGGCCTTGACAAGCTCATTCCCCACCTTCTAGCGCCGTGCACTTTTTCTTCCAAGACTCCGCTTTCTTTTCGGGCGCGCAGGGCGGCCGTGTCACCTGCTGTGTGCTGTGGAGCATCTCGTCCAAATGCCACCCGGCATTTCATCCGTTGTTCGGAGTCGTGTATGCGGGAACCAGGGCCCAGGGTGCGTCATTGTAAGAAACCACGAGCTGTGCCTGTCTTTACATGGGAGAGAATATTAAAAGAGAAAAGAAAAGAAAAAAGAAGATGATGATAATTTTAATACATGTTTTAGAGAGAGAAAGAGAAATCATATCAGAAAAAGCCACCAAAACAAGCACCATCCAAGACACAACTTGCTCAAATTAAAAAGTATATTGGTCGAATCATTATCGAGCAAATTAAACCGGTTCACAACCGTTTGCCCTCTCGCAAGCCTTTGCCTTTTTTGGGAGCTCGCTTCCATTTAACCCGGCAACTTTTGTAACGTCTGGCCGAGTGGCTTGTGCTTGGACCCTTGGGTCACCTTTTGCTGCACCTATGTACCTAAGTATGTTGAAAAAAGAAGGTGCCTTTGCCTTGTGACGATGCAATTGGTTGGACTCGCCAATCGAGATCGATTGCGGCAGGGAGCTTTCTCGAGAGACGTCAAGCCGTTTCCATGCAATCCCACGTCGAGTATCCCCCCCCAATATCCATCACTGCTGGCTGAGCCAGTCTCGGCATTGTGTGCATCGTGGGCAGGGTTGACGTCAAAACATCACACAGGGTATCTGTCCACTTGTCGCTCCTTCTGGAACGACGGATCGGCATCTTATTGATGCATGACACACTTATACTTATCCTTCAGGCATCCCAAGTCGCGCGCTAGTGCCCGTCTGGCAGGTTTTTTGAGTGTCTGGTGTCTTGTTCATTCTCTACGTTCCTCTTTTGTTCCATCTATTCATCCATCCATCCACCCATCCATCATCCGGGGCCCCTTCCCGGTTCTTGGTGCCTGATGTCGCCGCTCTTTCTTCAGCCACTTTAACTTCCAAATACCAGGTCTTCACACGAATGAAATCACTTCATGTCCCCTGCCACAGTGCACTCTATGGCTTGGTCAAGATGGCCGCTAGTTGCTTCGCCACCTCGTCCCCAACTTCCTTAGTGCCGGCGTTGCCACCCATGTCTTTCGTCCTGAGTCCTCCGTCGATGGCAGCCTTGACAGCAGCCTCAACAGCCTTAGCTTCCTCGGGCAAGTTTAACGAATACCTCAGCATCATGGCCACCGACAATATGGTACCGAGGGGGTTTACAATGCCTTTGCCAGAAATATCGGGAGCGGAACCTGGGCGCAAAAGAAAATCATGCTCAGTAAATCGTACATAATCGCCACTCCATGATTGGCGTTTTGATATATTGTCATCCAGTATAGTGAAACTGGGATCGACAATGCAGGTGCAAGGGGTGGAGATACACCTACCGTGAATAGGCTCATAGATGCCATTGCATTTACCCTTGCCGTCTGGAATACCACTCAAGCTTGCGCTGGGCAAAAGTCCAATGCTGCCGGGAATGACACTCGCCTCGTCACTAATGATATCACCAAAGAGATTGCTAGTGACAACGACCCCGTTTAAGCCCCGAGGGTTCTTGATTAGAATCATAGCGGCACTGTCAATCAGTTGATGCTCAATCTTGAGATCGGGAAACTCCCTCTCAAAGGTTTCAGTCATGACCTTTCGCCACAGGCGGCTGGTGGCCAGTACGTTGGCCTTGTCAAGAGACCAGACCGTCTTGTCTCCGCGGCCGCGGGCGAGGAACCCGGCTAGACGCGCCACACGCTCAATTTCTGGACGTGAGTAGGGTTCCGAATCCCACGCTGTGCCTGATCCATCATCTTCTTTACGATCACCAAAATAGATGCCACCGGTTAACTCGCGGACAATAACAAAATCGGTCCCTCGACATATTTCAGCCTTAAGGGGGGACGAATCGACGAGAGCATCAGAGGCGAAGAAACAAGGTCGTAAGTTTCCGTATGTTCCCATTTCCTTACGCAGCTTCAGTAGGCCTTGCTCTGGTCGAACGGCACCGGTGCCCCATTTGGGACCACCAATTGCACCAAGCAGAACTGCGTCGGCTGAGTTGGCTGCATTAAGAGCTTCATCAGTCAACGGGGTGCCAGTGGCATCGATGGAACACTAAGCGAGGTCAAGGGGTGAGTGTGTCAGCAACATTACTCAGACTCCATTTCGTACTCATACAACGGTAGGAAGAGGGAACTTCCCGGCGTGTGGGACTTACACCTCCCAGCAAATGCTCTTTGAGCACAAATTTGCCAACACTCGGTCTGTGGTGCTCAATCGCTTTAAGAATCTTTACAAGACAGACGTTCACGTTAGCTTGACGGCCTTGGGACGTCTACTTTCTTGCCAAGAAGAATCCAGATGAGGTTCCTTGTCACAAGTGGAAATGAAACACTTTACCTTGACGCCTTCGGCAACGACCTACCCCAACCATCTCCGTTAGCTAACAAAAGTTCTCCCTGAAGAATCGAGCTTCTGAACGGAAGCACAACACAACATACCTCGGGACCACAATGGTCGCCGGCAAATACCACAATGCTATACTCCGCCATCTTTCGGGATTTCGTAGCTTGGCCCTAATTGCACTTTTGTCGCGCTTCAAGAAATGGCTTTGTTGATGGAGGAATGATGTCTGGTCTGGTTTGTTGCTGCGGGCCATCCGAGTCGCCGATAGGTGATGCCCCTCCCCCACCAATCCGAGATCGGAGGCTGACATACTCCGTACGATCCACGGTTTGTTTGCTCGTGTTGACAGACACGCCACACTCACTGCAGTCAGGTGATGCGATTGTGCGACCGGAGCAACAGGACGCCACACCCGTTAGCCGGCGACGTGACCACTCGTAATTGAACAGGTTCTGAAGTTCGCACAAACATCGCCAGTATCAAAAGCTTGTCCTACCAAACACAGACCCTATCCCATCGGCATGCCCCTCGTGAAGACTATTGAAAATGTGCCCGGTACTCGGGCAATAGAAACACGCGACGACAGAGCACGATTCTCCCCAAGTAAGGACAGCCCTGGCTATATTAATTTAGCCCTTAATTACCTACCTAGGTAGGTAGTCTGCTTTTTCAGGTCGTTTCGATGCCTGCTTGAGTCGCAAGTCAAAACCCAGTGACAGACCAGAATAGGTTGCATTTTGTCCTCGCTTTTCGCCCTTTGAACCCATTGTTCCCTCCAACTAATTCGTACTCCGTACGATTGCTGAAGTGCCTTTTGGAGGCGCGATTGGCTCTGGGACCATGTCTGAGGTTTTATTATCGTATTCAAGGGTCTTTTGCTAGCGCCACGTGGTGGTAAACAATTTTGGCGTCTCGCGCATCTCAACGGGAACACCTGCTTCATACATGTACTGTCGTCCAACCCAATTCCAAATCTGACAGCAGGGTAGCTGCTCCGACCTTGCCCACATGGCAAGGCAAGCCGTTTCCCGATCGTGCCACGCGTGACCAAGGCTCTCGTTTTCGGCTGCACTCTAGAGCACGCCTACTCACGCAAATTGTCGGCGCTGAGGAATCAACAGCCCTGTTTCTGGCCTCTGTCGCCACGTACAGCCGTAATCAGTTCATGTCATCGAAAGCCAAGACTTATTGACGCCTCTCTCAGCACTGGGCAATTATTGGATCTCCGGCACTTGCAGGAGAGGCTCTATTTCCCCTAGGCCCCCAGGCTTGGACACCACACGTTTGATCCACTCGGAAGAGGCGGTAAGCTCCGGCTGGAGCCACGTCGTTGTGGGGACGACGTTACTCGCTAAGGTTCTTGCTCCAAGGTGACATATTATCGCAGGATGTACTTTAGTACTGTGTACAGTAGTGTATTGCACCTCCCAGGCCACCGAAGGACTTGTGTGGCTAGAACGGAGTAGTCCGGACACACGCCTGTCGTTGTGCATCGCGGGTCCAGGATCGTCAAGATTCCCGTTGGTGTCATGAAGGGTGTTTCGCGCAGAATCAGGTCACTCCTGAGTCATGGCTGCTCCCGTTCTGATTCGTCCTTTCCTGGATAATTACCTTTCTAATGCTGTGGGCTTGTGATTCCATTGCCTTGTCCTTGTCGAATCTTGCTTTGTGGCTCTGGATCGTGATATCAACAGTGATTATTTTGATCCTAGCTCTTTTCCGACACCGAACCGGCCCACAGTTGTTCACGATGTACAAGTTTGTTGCGGTTCGCCGACACTTGAGGTCGCTTCCTATCTCCCGGTCCTAGCAAAGGGCGAAGAAGATGTGTCGCGGGGGTTGACCTTCCAATAAAACCATGTATTCATAGTATGGAACCACGGGTGGCAAGACAATTGAGTGGGTACATTGAATCAGACCAAACTCTAATAGATGAGTTTAATGATTGTGAAGGTACGTACTCCGTCTTTTGCAACAAGCCTCGTGCCTCCCGATAGGCGATGATGGCTCAAACGATTCCGTTTGTGAATCTCTGCAAGAAATAATGTTATCCCCGTGTCCCCGCCAACCTGTAGGCTGGATGAAACTGGTACAACTTGGCGCGCATGGTCGGGATCCCGACCTTGTTTTTCGTCCAACATTTGGGAGCTTGGTTCTTGTGGAATAACACAGTAGGCCTCATGCAATCAGCCGCAAGACCGAGGTGTATGCGTGCCAATGGCCTGCCAGCGGTTAGAAGAGTTCCCGGAAATTGGATAGACAAGATAAGTGATCCGAGCAATGATGGTGCTTCATGACGGCGTAGCCGCTAGGCCAGAGTGACAGTGATAGCGCCAAACCACGTCGTCGGAGTAAACTGTCATGATTGGTGGCGGCACTTGGGTCGTTGGCCCCTGATCGATAGCAGCCACTGATGCGTAAGATCCACAATGGAGGAGCATCAGAACCTGCGCATCTCATACAACATGTATGGAGCACGGAGTACATGATATTAAAATCAAGAATGGACCTCAGCCTTCTGCGAGGTCACCGTCACTCACGATCAAGCCTGTACTCGGTGATTGTATGTAGAATAGGTGCTCGGTAGCTGTGTTATTGTAGGGTTCTTGATGGCGGGTTCTAGCAATCCTACCCAAAACGCATGTGCGTCTAGTAGTCCTGGGTGCATGTCTTCTTTTCTTTTAATATAAAAAGAGTGGACTGATGTTTGACGAGTAGAATGGACTCACGACCCTTGTTCTGCTCCGCAGCAGTCCCGAGTGCACGAAGCTCTTGTGTCGTGAGAGTTAGGGCTGTCCTTGTCGTCGATCGGAATGGGGGCAACGAGAGTCGTTGGCTGTTGCGGTTTCATCACAGTGACCGTTGTCGACGTATGAAGGCATCGAATCAGAGGTGAGGGTGGGGCGACGCTGCAAGAATCGGGGAGCCTTGGCCGTACCTGCCTTACTGGCGGTAGTCTTGTCCTCTCATAGGGCAAGATGATTGTGGCGCTGCGGGAGAATCTAACCGCAAGGCAGCCGGACGTGCCAAATATCATTAGCATGGCACTGCAATAATGCATGTACGTGCACGTGCTCGAGCAAACTCCCGGGTAACTTACGACACAGAGATACAATGATACAACACTTGCAGTTGCTTGGAAGCAGGCGTACAATTACGGAGTCGAGAGCAACGGGTTGAGTGGGTAGCCACCAGAGGCTTACTTCAAGTGCAACGCTGAGCCACGTACCTACGTACTCCGACACTTAGAAGTCAAGCTGCCAAGTAAACGATGGCTCGCTATTCAATAGCCGATATCGAATGCTACTACTGCTGGCCCTGTTCTGAAATTCGACCCTGAGCCCTTGACCAGCCGACCTGATGCTGATGGGTATGTCCGGCCTTCTTGGCGCCACGATCCGTACTAGATGGCGCACATTTGAGCACTCCAGGGAACATGCTCACTGCCATGGAAGCTTGGCGCGCCAAAGTAGGCACTTTTTAACTACCTAGGAAGGTAGGCACTACGTGGAAATTGGGGCGCAACTGCATTCTAGTGGCTCAGAGGTCGTCAACGGTAGCGCAAGTGGGAAGGAGCGGAACGCCGGGAAGGAAGTTGGGAAGGAAGAGGGGTGGAAGAGGGGTGGAAGGTGAGTGGAAGATGAGTGGAAGACGAGTGGAAGGGGTTAACTGGCCGGTTCCGCTCAGCCTCATTGGCCGCACTACTCGTCAGAGAAACCGCACCCCCTAGGGCCGCCCACGCCTCTTCCTTCAAGGTGCGCGGTTCCGGAGTCATCGACCAGCCATCGACCCAGTCCGCCAGTCCGCCAGTCCGCCAGGCCATCAAACCATCAAACCCCGGCTCAGATGCGCAAGTTGTCGTCTCACATCTCAAGGACCAGGACATTGGACTTTCTCGCACAGGTTGAGGTGGTATTATTGTGTAGTGTATACCAATCATACAGCAACTCAAAGCTGTCCTTTGTAGAAGCTTGGAAGGACAGCTAGTCCAGGCCTTTATTGGTCCCGACATTGAGTGCTCGAGTTCTGAATGGAGCACCGAGCATGTATTCAATGTTCAATGTTCGTATTGCAGATTGCAGAGCTTTCCCGTATGCGACCATCTCCAAAGTGAAGTTGAAGCATGTGGGTAGGTACAAAGGCAAGTACCAGTCATTTTGGGCGTAGTCACATCGGCACCAAGCTCCCAAGGTCGCCAGGCCGCAAGGTCGCGTCGAAGGCTGCAGGCTAAGGTATTCGTACAGTAAACTTGAGGATGGGTGTCTCCCCGGCCAAACAGCGAGTACCCAAGACCCAAGGCCATAGCCACATGCGCTGCCCTGCTGCTCGTGTGTACACTACAATAGCCGACGGTTGGGGCACTTGCCATTCAGGTCCCGATGAGACTTCGGCAGTCAACACAAGTCAATCGACCTCGTTGCTAGACATCTGGACTCTCTGCTTGACAGCGGCTGCCTGCGAATTCCAAGTTGAGACTTGGTAGAAGCTAGTTTGCACTCTGCAACACCCTCGCCTTCTCTCTCGTCCGACCTCCAGCTTCCACCAGCCCCGATTGCTCGACAAATACCTGCAACGCCAGCGAAAAGTCACGGCTGCCGCACCTTAAAGCTGAAACTTGGAACCTGGAACCTTGCCCGTCTCCATTGATTCTCGACTCCGTATCGCTTGGGTCCCCAGCAACCCCAGCAGCCCCAGCTAGCCCCTCGACGGCCACACAACATTGAGCCGAATACCCAGGCATCCAGCCAGCCAGAACCGCCACGACTGCCAGGCTCTCCCTACCCAAATAGCGAGGCTAATGTGCCTGGTAAACCGGGCAGATTGGCAGACTCACACGGGCACAGACGCACCAATCATTTGCCGTAGCCCTGCGCGCACGTCTAGCTAGCTACTCCCTAGCCTAGAAACCCTTGGTGACGGACAAAGTACATGATGATGAGCCCAAACGTCATGTTGACCCAAGTTTCCCGAGTCCACTGGACCCGAAAGTTGGCACGCAACCTTAACCGGCCAGGCTTTTTTGTCAAACGGACTCCTTCTGCGGCTTCGACGGCTCCCACGTCTCCCACCGGAGCCGCCCCCCATGCCTCTCATACCTCGATATCCATCGTATGGAGTACATGTGGTTTTACTTACACCTCTGCTCTAGCTGGGTTTCCCGATTTCCCACTCATCTGACACTTTCTCACACGCCTTGTTCTCTTCTCCCTCGGGCTTTGGCCTGGTCCTTGCTCACAGGTGGCAGCTCGAGGGCTTGAAGTTGTCCTAGTCTAACCCAAAACCAAACCCCCGGTTTACAGATCTTGATGGAATGGTGACGCCGGCTACCTCACTACCGTGTTCCGTGCCTGACCTTGCAAGCCTGATGGAGCCATAATCCTCAAGTGGATGTGAGCTGGGTCGAGCAGGATATGGGGGTTCCTGGGACCTGGGATTTTGGACCTGGGCACCGCCTGGACAACCTCCGAGTTGCCCAGCTCTGATTGAGCGTGTACACGCACTCCCGGAGACACGTAGAATGGGGCCAATATGGATGGATTGGGGACGACGGAAGTTTATGGTATTGACAGACGCCTCACATGTATGGAGTGAGTACACGCGCACACACGCTTCGGCTCCATGTTCCTCTACCTGCTCCAGTGTGCGTGAGTTTTATATTAAGTATGTATTGTATGTGTGCCCCTACTATACATACATACATACCATACAATCAAGCAAGCACACACGCACACGCACACGCACTCCAGTCTGGGGCGCCCGCTGTTATACCCAGTTATCGGAATCATACTCCCGCACACCTCTCAACTCTCTCGTCTTCCTGTCCTCCCCATCGTGCCTCGTCTAAATGAAAACCGCACTCCCCCATGGACCCATAAACCCATGGTACCTTTCGATTTGCTTAGTCGTGTGCAACTAACTGCTCAGTCACCCCAGTCTTTTCCGTCTTGCGCAAGCCTCAAAGGGCCCATACATTATTCATTTGTCTCTTGCCAAGTTCCGGGCCGAGCGTGGCATCGCTAATCTGTGTACAAACACACTCTCTTGTCCCAGTTCCTCTGGGTCTTCTATATCACACAAAAGGAGCTGGCCCTCTTTCTGCTCCCTCTCCAACCATCGCTCTTTCACTATCACTAAACTATACAGAGTCGTTAACCGACCAGCTCCCCAGATCACACTGCGGTAGCTACCAACAAAACACTACAATCTTTACTTGCAATACAGTCATTACGCGGTGGCTCTTTCCGATTATTTTCAGAGATAGTCCTGCTCTTGCCTTGTACACCAAACGCCTGCGTCCAACACTCCTTCCTCGGCAGCTTACATGCTCTCTCCCACTCGCATCCGCCCAAATAGTACGACTAGCTCTCGAAATCACCATCACAATCCCTTACACGTCCAATCTTTTGTCAAGTATGTTCAGGCCGTCAACTCAATACACCGGCATCTTTGCTGCGTCCAGATATGTTCGTCCAGCATCATCTGGTCCAGACTTGTGCCTAACCCTGCGCGTTTACTGACTTGGGCTTTCAGGCGCGAATCGCCCCAACATTTGTTCAGGCAGATTGTCCTTCAAATTAGTCCTTGCCCTTTCCCCGTACACTCCGACTACCTTCCTTGCTAGTCTTGCGGTAAAACCGCACTGTTACGATAAGAAATACTGCCTGCTCCAGGACTTCGATATCGTTGTGGAACAACTCCAACCCACTATCCGTTGTGCGGACAGCCAGTTTTGTGCTAGTATTTGCTATTAGCTCACTTTCCTGATCTCGTTTTCTTGCTTCTTCCTCGCAAATTGATTGCTCAGAGTTGGAAATGAGCACCAACACCATGCCTGGGAACGACGGGATGCTTCCCGGAGGAACGATGTGGATGTCGCCGCCAACATCTGAACCGCGTAGACGACCAGCAGCGATATACACAAATATTTCCTACACAGCCGGCGATGAGATGAACCCTATTTCTGCTTGGAGCGGCATGCACCTACAACAAGTCACCGATCCATCGACGTCGCGGTCATCACCTATTGCTCAGGAAATGCTTCCTCTGTCCATGTCAGGCCATGGTGAGTCTCTAGCCAATTCGCTTGCCACTATTTGCCGCCACGATCCTAATGAAAATACCTCAGACGGATGGAATCAGCCATCGTGCGGCGAAGTCCTCGACTTTCAAGGCCTGGATTCCGAAGGAGCTATTGGCCAAGCATACACCACCGATGAAGCTGTACCCATAATCGACTTGCGATATTCGAACCAGTCCCAAGAAGCATCAAATCTGAACATGGAAGAGGGTATAAAACAAAGGAGGCTATCAAACTCTTCGTTGACGGTCTCTACTTCAGAACCGATGTCTGACATCCCGTCTTCGTATGAGGACTATCCTGCTGGCTTGTCGGAAGCTCCCTCTTATACCTCGGATTACCTGTCAACTGCCTCAAACCGAACCTCGCTCATGTCTTCCATACAACTGTCGCCAGTAGCTTCGCCACGAGCCACTCCCCAGAGCCGACCAGAGCAAGTCAGAACCCAAAGTCGCGGCCGAGCCTCGCCATCTCCGAGACCAAGCGTGCGGTCCGCACCGTACACCCTCGAGGCATCGAAGAACCAACGGTGGTCTACTGGATCATATGCCCCGACGCAAAACCGCCGACAGTCTCCCATAATATTCCACGGTGCCCAGGACGGATACCCCACAAACCAACGCATGTCACTTCAGAACTATCCACCGCTGATGCCGACACAGTCGTTCCATGCAGGTGGCATACATGGCCATCCTCCACACCAACCGCCATTTGCTGTGTCCGGGCAACCAATGTTTTCGAGACACGGAATAATACCACCACCTCACATGTCACATCAGGGCATGTTTGAGCAACCGCCACCACTGCCATCACACGGTATTTTCAAGATGCTCCAGAGCAACGGAGACCCTCATATGCTACATGGTCACTATGCGGATCTATCGGATCCTCCTGATTTGTTTGGTCCTCTAGCAGAAGAACAAGTTCCACCGCCTGAAGAAGACATGAACCATTCTGACCCTAACATGATTCCCTATGAGCAAGATTTGCGATTTGATGGTGATCTATACACTCCTAGGTGGGTTCGGGGCCATGGAAACAAGCGTGAGGGCTGGTGTGGTATCTGCAAACCGGGCAGATGGCTAGTTCTGAAGAACTCGGCTTTCTGGTATGACAAGTCTTTCACGCACGGCATTAGTGCCGCTACAGGCCATCCATTCGAGGAGCCTTTGGACACACGACGAATGGACGGAAACCCAGATGTGTGGGAAGGACTGTGTACATCATGCAATGACTGGGTCCCCTTGGTCAGTAGCAAGAAGAAGGGCACAACGTGGTTTCGACACGCCTACAAGGTTAGTTATGAACATGGCCTGGAACACTCCAAACCCAACAACTGCTAATACATTTCGATAATAGTGCCATACTCATCAGAAGGTCAAGGATATGCCAAAGAGACGACGAGAGATGGGTAGCGGTAGAAAACTGGCTGCTCAAACCCCGAAACCCAAATTAGATACAACGGTACAGCAACCAATGACCCCACAGTCGGTCACCACGCCAGTATCGGGCCTTAACACACCATGTTCCGTGCCGCCGCTAATGCCTCAACTTCATCTCCAAGTGTTGCATCATCAGCAGCAAATGCCGCCACACACAGAACCTCCCACGTCAGTTTCAGGACCCGACACTATGTGTCTATCTGGACCTCCCCCTATGTCGATACCACCTCCAACGTCAACTATGGGAAATATGATCTAATTCATGATCTCGGGGCATCCTCCACGCAAACTCCCCTTGCATCGACCAGGGCTTTCTTTCTTTCTTTTTTTTTATTCGCTTTACGTTTCGAGTTCTTTGCACGACAACTAGAATTGTATTCTGCCGATTTAAAATGCATGTTTGATTGACGAACTATGAAGGAGAGCATGAGGATACGATATTATATCATAAAACTACTCTCAAAACACATGACTGGGTAGCCTGCTTTGATTCTTTATTTTACTTTGGTTAACTGGATGATATTTTGGAATGGATGTGGAACTGATAGAGCGGGAACTAAACGATTTGGGTTGGATAAAGAGTCTTTCTACACCGGATTGGAGTGAATTTGGGAAGGGGTACACGGTTTTTTGTTTTGGGGTCAGGAGACTGAAAATTACCCTTGTGGTTTTGGTTATATCCATTTTTGCACTGTGGTCCTTGTTCACTTCTCTACTTTTCTTCATTAGTGTATATCCTTTGTTGATGTATATTTCCATTTGTACCACTTCTTGTCATTCTATGCAATGTAACTTGCTCCACATTGGACGTTCTTTTTCTTAACCTACTATACAACGTTCCTGTGAGCACAGTCTCGGTCTTGGTCACAGGGCAATAAGAAGATTGGAGCCTCCCTTTGCTATACTCGGGCAGCTTTTTTCCCCTTTTCTTTTTCTTTTGTTTCGGCAAACCACCGGTCTGGAACGTGCACAAGTTGCTCATGGAAGCTGGGCTCCCTGAGAAACAAATGTCTTTTGTGTAAGTTCTATCATGGCAACATGATGGCATACCCTACTGGGGGAACTCCTCTTCCTTATTGCTAGCACTAGTCATAGCTCTGAATGTCACCTCGTCGGTATATCCGGAGTGTGTAGAAAATAAAGAAGATTTGGGTCGACATTCAGACGAGCAGTATTCTTGTTTCAGTGTCAAGTGTGTCATAGAAGTGCTTGGCCAAGTGATGGCCTTGTATCAACTAAAACGACAATATTTCCGTAGTTTAAAGAAGTATGCAATTACATCCCCCGACTGCGATCAAACAGCCCAGCTTTCCGGCGTCAAGGCCCTAGTCATCCCTTTGGCTGGTTGTTTGTTAGTCTTGCGAATCCTCATATGTTTACATATAGCACACTATGGACCCCCCGCCCGGGGGAAAGGGGGGGGGGGGATACAGGAAGCGTTCAAAGCCGTAATTCTGGTACTGGCGTCAAAATATTCGCCTTTGGGCCAGGAGATTCATACGTGGATTTTGGGCGCTCGTCTCAGCGCTTTGGCGTCTCGTTTATCGGGTTTGGAGCGGTCTTAGATTCATCTCTGGGCGCTACCCTGAGCGGAAATGTCGTTCTGAGACGGATGCTCGTGATGGGACTTTCCGTGGCCAGATGTTGGTGCACCAACAAGATAAAGTTTCAGAACCGTCTTGCCGTCCGCTTTCCGATTCCCGGGCATGTCCGTTGCTTCTAGGCTCCGTGGCGTGGCTTGTTCTGGGCGTCTGGCCACGTTGTCGGTTTTGAACTTTAAAAATGTGCAACAGGAGCTGAGGGCAGGGATTTGCTGAGCGGCTGTAGAGCAGAATTGGCTGGGTGGCGCGTTTCGGTTTCGATGAGCTTGTTTTCTGTGATGTTGGTGACCTGTCCAGTCAAAGATGTCGGGTTGGGCATTGGTGCAGATTGAGCCGCGATACTGGTCTGTATGTGCTCACTGCGTAGGCAGTATGTGGAGTTTTGGGAGCTTGGCTCAATGGCTTGGCAGTGCAATATTACTAAATGCTGCGCAGTTTGGTATGAATTTCATTGAAGTGAGCATCTCTCGTTGCTATGTTTCACGGACGGGAACCCAGACTTCCCTTCCATCAAACACTATCAGTGTGTAGTCGCCGGCCCTGGGGCCTCTCTGTTGCAACATCAGACCATTTTACGACTGGAACTCCTTCCTGAAAAGGGCCGGTTCATCCGTGAAAAAAAACCTGGTGCTTGGTATGTTTCATCGCCATCATTTTGCTGTCTGTTCTAAGTTCGTACCAAGCTGGGATTATGGTGAAACGAGAGCCAATCATGTTTGGTGAACGCCCATGATATGCGACCGATGAAAACAGTCTATGCAAGCCTCATCGAATCGAGTCCAACTACACAAGCCACGCAGTCCAGTCTTCACACATATTCAGCTTGTCCCTGGGGAAGTGTCGATAATTTAACTTGGACGTCATGTGCGCTTTCACCCTTGCAGCAACCACTGCCACAGACCGAAACGCCCAGGAAAGTCGAGAACCGACAGCCCGCCAATAGGAGCAAGACTTCTGTGTGTCTTGACTAGAAAGCGCCTTATGGATGAATTTTAGTGATATTGAGATATATAATTATGACCCTGTGTATTGCCAGGTCAAGTTCCCTACCCGTCAGCGACCAAGTGGACGAGACAATAGTTTTTTTTTTTTTTTTTTTGCCAAAGCTGGGATTATGGTGAAACGAGAGCCAATCATGTTTGGTGAACGCCCATGATATGCGACCGATGAAAACAGTCTATGCAAGCCTCATCGAATCGAGTCCAACTACACAAGCCACGCAGTCCAGTCTTCACACATATTCAGCTTGTCCCTGGGGAAGTGTCGATAATTTAACTTGGACGTCATGTGCGCTTTCACCCTTGCAGCAACCACTGCCACAGACCGAAACGCCCAGGAAAGTCGAGAACCGACAGCCCGCCAATAGGAGCAAGACTTCTGTGTGTCTTGACTAGAAAGCGCCTTATGGATGAATTTTAGTGATATTGAGATATATAATTATGACCCTGTGTATTGCCAGGTCAAGTTCCCTACCCGTCAGCGACCAAGGGGGCAAGACAATAGTTTTTTTTTTTTTTTGTGCCCAAGACTAACACTGTGCCACCACCATTCGTTCCTGGTCGATGATATTGCGTGGTGGCGGTTTTTCGTCATCACCCCTCAATTTTCAGCTGTGGTTAGACAAAATGAGCAATAAGACACAGCCCGCAGAGCCCAAAATCCAGTTGCTTCGGCGCTCCAGGTATGAACGCCATCCTGGTTAGGGTGGTTTTTGCTAAGAAGTTGCGCCGGGTATGTGGCTCCTGATGCTTGCTGAGATAATGAGGTGGGCCGGGAATAATCGAAGTCATGTCCAAGGCCGGATTGATGTGCCCATGATTATTGGTAACCGAATATCTTGCATTACAATAATACCATTGCGAGACAGGTAACGAGAACTGAAAATTCCGCCCGTCGAATCATGTGGCACCATGCCGACTCAGGGACCAGTTTTCAGATGCAGAATCCCCGCGGCGTCGGTGCCCCGAGTCCGATGGCTAGCCAACAGATGACCGCTCTCTAGGACATATTGCCGGAAGCCCTGGCATTCGTTCGCGCCGAGATTCACTTGCATTTGCATCCCTCAAGTTGAGGCATGTGCAATGCGGATATCTCATCAGTAGTCCAGAGTTGAGACTAGCTTCCACTCGTGGGAGCTTTCCTGTTTTAAATCACCATGAGCTTTCAGCCCCGCCCTCGGCCAATACGCGAAGTCGGTAGATACTTGACTGGTACAAAAGGGGTTGTCAAATGGCTGCAGCAGATGGGCCGTGTCATGCTGGTCTGTGGCCAGTATGGTGGAGTCCATCTATTCGCCGCTGTATGCATGAGCGCTGTATGCATACGACTAACCCGATTTAGTCGGGGACCCCACATCCCACACCCCTTGGTGTGTTCTGCACACAAAAAAATGGCTGTGCAACGTCAACTGGTGTTATCTAAAACGCGCTCAGTAACGGGTTTAAAATTCAACGGCATCAAGCGGCAGCAGCATTAAAAGGGCCCAATTCGTTTAAAAACGCGATTTCCGGTGTTTTATTTAAAATGCACACATTCTATCAGGCCGGCTATTAATCCGGGCCATCTAGGGGGTTATCGCGACGATAATTTCCTCCTCTGCAATTAACGCCTGTGACGGGCTGCTTCTAGCAACTTGTACGTTTATTGATCTTGTTGCCCTATTAATTACAGCATTTCTAGAACGAATTAATAACCGTGAGCCGCCTCTATTATTACTTTGTGTCCTTAGCTGCGATTACCCTTTAATTTCAGCCAAGGAGAGAAAATTTTACTGTGGCTGCCTTATTATGCGCTGCCGAAAACCCCGCACATCGCGATGCCCTCAATTAGGTCATAACCTAACGCGAAAAAAACGCGAAAATACTAAAAGATCACGATTTCCATTTAATTACACGTAAATTACGTACGAGGGTGTGGCAGCCTGGATGTGTGTGTATCATCCTGCGGGGCGATGTGGGTTACAGCGCTCATGCATACAGCGGCGAATAGATGGACTCGTATGGTGCCGACGCTTCGTCTGGCAGAAATTCTGCTTGCCCGGTTCACGGGGCTCGTATACGAGTATGTCCATGTCTCCTAAAGGCATGGAGGATAGGACTGTCACTAATCGAGATCGAGACGAGGGTTGGTGGCTTGTGCTGGCTTCCCTGTTTGCCTGTTTAAGCAAAAACCCACCATCCAAAATTGTCACACCTTAGAGGGCACTAATTGTAACGATAAT